CATACATAATGCTTTGTGACATTGATTGCAATCCCTACAATGTAATATCACTTTTCCCAAAACCTCCCTGTGGTTAGTTTCCATTTGTTCTTCTTTTCTGTCCCTTCTTGAATTCTGAGCTTTATCCTTGGACAAATGCTTCCCTTTTAATCTTGTATGGTTGATTGCTCTAATGAGTGCATACTTCCCTGGTGTTACTGTTCATCTTACAAGCCTATAATTTGGCTGAAAGTTGAGTCACAGGGATGAGTTCAGCTCCAAGCCACTTATGAGCTTTTAAGACCCCAGTCACTACTTAACCAATGTAAAATATAAAACGTTGTCTTTATGGAGTATGTTATGCCAGCTGACCTTGGTTTCCTCCCAAGACTATGGTTCTGAGCCTCTGGGTCCAGTAGTTCATTCTCTCCTCAAGGTAATTTGGTTATGTCTAAGAAGTTTTCATAACTTTGTCCCTCTGTATGCTCTCCTATATTTATGGATATATTTACAGCATATTCAAATACGCATGTAGAAATATCTCTAATCCTTTCCTGACCCTTCCAAAGCTTTCCACTACATTAGTGAGTCTCAACCTTGGCTATACTGATTTGAGGTAATTTAATTGTTTTAAAAAGCAAACAAACTGAAAATTTAAACAATGTCTGGGCTCTGCCTGAAACCAACTATATTATTATTTCTGTGGGTAGTACCTAGATGTATATATCTTTTTAAAAACTCTCCAGCTCTATATATTATATATTGGTCATTTACTTCATTCACTGAAGATTTCATTGTAGCAATTCTTTCTAGAACTAATCTGTCCTCATTTTTAATTATTTGAACAGTTGAATTTCTAATACCCTTACCCTTTATCCCATCCACAACTTCTCCCTCCCATAGTTGTGTCTGAGATCAATTACGACACTATGCACTTTCAAATTCACAGTTTCAAGCATTCTGCTATCTGAAACCCAGCTTACTTACCTCAAGATTTCCCTCTCTACTCCTTAATCCCCCAGCATTTTCAATCCATTGACTGTATCAACTTTGTAAAATAAACTCCTGTCTCAGTTCCTTCCTTACTAGTTTAGATTCCATGATAATCATTCTAACCACTTGAATGCATACTTTCACCTCTCTTACCCCTCTTTCCCTCTGTCAAAACTGCCTTGCCTGGCACAATCCTGTTCTTGTTTAAAGCCAACCCTTCCTTATTCTGAACAGATCAGAAATGTCTGTAAAAAACACACAAATATGCAAATTAATCTTACTTTAAATTGTAACCAAAGACTTCAAGGTGATGCACTGGACTCAACCAATAAGAGGGGTCTTCTTCAAACGTTTGTGGAAGAATGAAATTAAAATAAAATGGAACTTCTCCACAAACTTTTTGAAGGCAATTTGAGAAGAAATTCACTGTGATATATAGATTGATCTTGCAATTTAAATTCTAGGTTTTTTTTAATCTCCCCACGCCCACCCCAGGGTAGGAGTGAGAAGGGAAATATATTTGGAAAAGTTTATCCAAGAAACAGAACAGACAGACATATATTTTAAAAACATGAACAAACCATTACAGAATGAGATCTGAAACCAAGAGTGATTTCAGTTTTGGTGGCCCCTGCCTTTTTTTTTTCCCCCTTTTTTTAAATGTAAGCTTCTTAAAGACTGAAGCAGGATAAAGGATCACTGGCTCTCATCTAGGAAATAACAAGTGATGAATAAAAAAGAAAACTTACCCCCCCCGCCCCCGCCAACAAGGCCTGGCAATCCTGTTCTCCATACCCTCCCCCAAAATAAAAATATGAATACTTTACATAACAACTCAGAATTAGTCTTAATCTCCTACCTGCCTCTCTCAGCGGAAGTTTAAGTTCATGAAATAAAAAGACATCGAAGCTCATGTACATAGGTTATAAAAGCTCGTATCAGAGGACAATTGATTTTTTTTTTTTTTTAAAGTACAGGCAGGGAAAGGAGCAAACATTTTTAATTAAAAGCTTTCTGCACTTTCTGATTACTGTTCAAGTTTTACTATTTAGCAAAAAGCAAAATTTTTATAGTGTTCATCTTAAATCTTACTGCTTTACCACTGTAGTATGCCTTCCATTAAAATAAAGAGATGGAGCGGTCAATCTGGTGATTCATTTGGCATGGCTTTCATTGGAGACTGGGGGTGGGGTGGGGAGTGGATGGCAAAGAGACAACAGCATCCAAAAAGTAACTTACACATACAATGGTTTTCTTTAAAAAAAAAAAAAAAAAAAAAGAGAGAGAGAGAGAGAGCCAGAGAAAATGTTATCTTCAACAAATGGAAACAAGCATTCAAAGCCCATCTTTCAAGCCATAGCCAAACCATGTTCTATCTTAAGGAGGGTCTCCTCTTTCTTTGTTAATAAAAATCTCTCCCCAAACCATCATCACTTTTAATCATCCCCAGACTGGGTTTCATCTTCAGACACTTCATCCCCAGATTTTTTTGGTAAAGGGCTGGCAGATGTTTTATTTTCTGGAGGGATTTCTCTTCTTTGGGGGAAGGAGTCTTTTCCTTTGATGCCTTTGAGGCTGTGAGATGAGCCACTTTCCCTTTGCCTTTCACTTGACTTGGCATCACTGTTGCCTTTGGCCTGGGTTTAGGCATTTTCTTTTCTTTTCGCTCAAGTTTGGATTTCTTAACCATCTTTTTGTTTTTCTTTTTTGAACTGCCATAGTCACTGCTATCATCGTCTTCCATTAGGAAGTCTTCATCACTGCCAGAATCTTTTTCTTGGACTAGTGCCTTGTCCTCCTCTTCTTGTTCTTCCTCACTGCCCACATCTTCCGTAAGTATTTCTCTCTGCTTAGAAGCTGCTTTAGAAGCTGCCTGTCATTGCTGGCATGCATTTTTACGATCTTCTTTTTCATCTTCACTATCATCTGCTGAGTAAGTGTCATCCTTCTTGTCTTCACATCTTTTTCTTCCGAGTCCTCACTGTCTTCCTGTGAATTATTTCCAGACCACCTCTTATTTTTAGCTTATCAAGGAGATGATCGCATTTTCTTAGCTGGAGGACCCAAATCTCTTCCATAATCTTCATCAGCATCATCAGATTCCTGAAACTGTGAATAATCAATGACCTTCCTATTTCTTTTCAGGCCAAGACATGTTCACTGTTGAAACAAGAGCCAGTCGAAGAAGCCAAAGACCAGGATACCCCTAACCCGCCCCAACTTTGGCGGTTGCAGCTGAACCTCGAGATGATGGTTTCTCAAACTCCGCCCCCTCCCCCCATCTCTCCTAAAGGGATCTCCCACTTAACTTTTATGTGACCTTATTATTCACTGAAAAATACGGGCTTGCTTATTATTTCACTGAAAAAAACAGAAGCTATCAGAACAGTAAATCTTCATCTTCTCACCATCAAATCTATCAACCTACGTCCATCTGTCCTCATATACTTTGCCTTTCTTCCTTTAACTGTTCTAGCTCTGGGACTAACCCTTGTATTGTACACCGCATCACACGCCCCATAAGGACTGTGAAGCTGCTTTTATCCTCACTTTAATGATCATGATTGTTGTTGTTATGTGCCATCAAGTCCATTCTGACTCATAGAGATCCTGAATAGGGTTTCCAAGGAATGGCTGGTGAGTTTGAACCTCTGACCTTGCAGCAGTTCACACCAACTTTGTGGTCAAGTGCTTACCTTATAGCAGTACACCAGGACACAAGAAAAATGTAGAACAAAGCTCAAATTCACACACAAAAGGACCAAACTTATTGGACTAATAGAACCTGGTGAAACCCCTGAGACTAACACCCTTTTAACCTAGAACTGATGCTTCCACTCAAAGTTACCTTTCATAGATTGATCTCTAAAATAAATAATAACATCCATGATGAATGTGCTTCTTGGAGGACGTAACTCCATGAGACCAAACAGGCAACAGTTTCCCAAAAGCAAAGATGAGAAAATGGAGGGATGGGAACTAGGAAGGTTGAGTGAAAATGGAAAGCGTTCTGACACACTGCAGGGACAACGACCAATGTCATGAAAACAATCTGTGTATGTATGAACTGTTCAATCGGAAACTAATTTGTTGTGTAAACTTTCACCTAAAATGCAGCAAAATGTTTTAATAAAAAGTCATTTTAATGATCAGATAAGCACAATGTACCATCATGTTCATATTCTTTTTAAAATGTCTATGCTTGACCCCCACATCTATTATTTCCTCATAGCTTTTCACACTTTATCTTGAATCCATTCCAATCAGGTTTCTGGCTGCAACGTTCCACTGATAGTATTCCTTTAGTTTAGAATGCTCCACTCCAAATTATTTTTAAGGCTCCCTTTCTTACTTTAATCTTGTATGTATTCTGAAAGATCATAGTGCCACCTTTAATAAACATAATATCCTACTCTATCCTCCTACCCACCCTTACTTCTCTCATCTCCTTCCCTTTTCTATGCCTTTATCGGCTTCATTTTTATTACATATAACTTCATGACATTATATATCTACATTGTTTGTATTCCAGCACTAAAATATAAACTTAACAGCAGAGACATTGCTTTTAAATTGTGTTTTTCCACAGACTGTTTTTTTTTTTAGGTATCCCCATAAGCCCTAGTGGTACTGTGGGCAACATGTTAGTCTCCTAACTGCAAGGTCAACAGTTCAAATCTACCAGCAGCACCTTGGAAGAAAAATGAGGCTGTATGCTCCATTTATGCTCAAGATTTATAGTCTGGGAAATCCTACACAGGCTCACTATGAGTCAAAATGAACTTGATGACAATGAAGTTTACATTTTGTCTCCACACCTGGAATACTGTACATGACAGTGTCACAAAGAATATCTTTCTAATTAAGTGATTTAATACTCCTATTGATGATTCAATTTAACTTTGTCCTCATGAGATTTTCCCTGGAGAATGGTGGCATAAATCAAACGCAAATATTGTATTCGATTTATTCTTAGAGAATAATTTCTTGAAAGCTCCCATAACCATGATTTAAATTAAAATACTTACTTTGCTCTGATGTTACCTCCCACCAGTTAGAAGGTCGCCTGGAAATTCTTCGACTTTTTGTGATAGTCACAGTCACTTCTTCAGAAACAACTTTCTTCTTCTGGGGTCCACTTGAAATACACTTGTTCATAAATTTTTCTTTTACTTTTTTCTGACTTTCTTTATTAGGAACATGGGCTTTACCTTTTTTTTGCCCTAAAATAAAGAAGACGACAAAAATAATTCACAATCTACTGAACCAGTATTTTCAAAGGTTAAAAAAAAAAAACTCTAAGCAATAATTGAGGAGCTCTGGTAGCGTAGTGGTTACGAATCGGGCTGCGAACCTTAAAGTCAGCGGTTCGAAACTACCAGCCGCTCCGCGGGAGAAAGATAAGGCTTTCTACTCCCGTAAAGATTTACACCCTCGGAAACCCTGTACAGGGTCGCTATGGGTCGGAACCGACTCGACGGCACTCAACAACAACAACAACAAGCAATAATTGAACATCTTAAACTTATGATGTAGGTTTTTATTTCACCTCTAGTTTTAAAGTTGCACATTCTCAATAAAATCTTTAACTTTCTGTCAATTAAGTGCAAACTTTTCACATTGCCTATCATTTACTCCTAAGCAAAAAAATTAGCACCAAAATCAACCTGACAACTGCTAATAATAATAAATAGTAAAAATAAAAGACAAGGTTCATTGTTTTCACTTACTAATATCACAATTAAGAATAAGGTATTTACTGTTTTCTGTTTTGAAATAATAATTTTGAGGTGACTAATGATTTCTGTCAACCTAATTTGGGGACAAGGAGACTTAAAATTACATGAAGAAAAACTATTGCTTCTGTGAACAGAAACTTAGGGAATATAAAAACAGAAGAAAACAATGGATATGGCAAGGAATAAAGAGCTAATGGAAAAGTTTAGTAGCAACATTAATTCTACTAATAAGAACAAAACTGATACAATATAGACAAATTCTAATCTTATTCTAATGACTGGCAACCAAGAAGAAATAGGGTATTACAATATACATTACAATAAAAAGGGGACAAAGAATATCAAAATGGGTTAAACAATGGATTCTTATAGAACTATGTTTAAAACAGACTTTTGGTTTGATGCTGTAGTATTAGCACTGGGCTGCAAACCACAAGACCAGCAATTCAAACTTACCAACCACTCCTCAGAAACCCTATACAGGGTCACTATGAATCTAAACCAATCTATGGCACTTAACACCAATAATAGATACTTTACAAAATTACATGATTATTAAACTACATGTTGCTTTTGTTAAGTACTGTCAAATCAATTCTGACCCACAGCGACTCTATATAGTGTTTCCTAGGAGTGGCTGGTGAGTTTGAACCACAGATCTTGTGGCTCAAAAGAACCTTCGACTGCTTATACTACAGCACCACACTATGTTGTTGTTGTTGTTGTTGTTATGTGTCGTGGAGTCGGTTCCGACTCATAGCGACCCTGTACAGGGTTTCTGAGGCTGTAAATCTTCACGGGAGCAGAAAGCCTCATCTTTCTCCTGTGGAACAGCTGGTAGTTTCGAACTGCTGACCTTGCGGCTCACAGCCCGATTCGTAACCACTACGCTACCAGAGCTCCTTTACAGCACCACACTATATAGACCAAAAATAAAAAAAACGGTAAACAAAGGAGAAATCATAGAGTTTGAGAATACTTAGCGCTTTCACTAAAGAAGGTGAATTCGGGGAAATAACTCTCACAAAAATGGTATTACTAACAAAGGAATAATTTCCCTGAAATGGAAATGTAAAGGAAAAACTATTAAAGTTTGGGGAATGTAGAAGAAATCATCAAAATATGTAGGTGATAAAACAAAAACCAGTTAATAAAGAAGACACAAAAAGATGTCAAACAGAGAAATAGGGAGGAGAGCCAGAATGCCACATTATTAGGAATATGTTGTTGTCCATTCTGACTCATAGTGACCTTCTTATAGGGATTCTGATGAAATTAGCTAGTTCTTAATTAGATTGAAATCTGTATTTAAGTCATTTTTGTTATCTATATGACCAACATTAACACTGTTTGGTATACTGTTGTTGTGCTAAGTGGTGTCATGCCAGTTCCGACTCATAGCTACCCTGTATAGAGTTTCCAAGGAACAGCTAGTGAGCTTGAACAGCTAACCTTGCAGTTCAAACCAACCTTGTAGTTCAGCACATTAAGCCACAGCACAACAATGAACTGAGATTAAAGTCAGTATTTGACTAATAAAATGGCAAAATCACTACCTAGCATGAGTCTACTTTTGATAGTATAAGCAACACCTAGGAGAATGTTTGCAATTTATGTACAAAATCTCAGGTCCCACCATAGACCTGATATATCTGAGACAGCATTCAACAAGATCCTTAAGGGAATTCAAATATACATGCAGGTGTATAAAACACTGTTGTTGTCATTGATAAGCAGCTCCGAGTCACGAACCAACTTGAAGGCACTTAACAACATTTTAAGAACAAGGTTGACAGTTCAAGCCCATCAGGGGTGCTGCAGTAGAAAGATGAGGCTTTCTGTAGGCAGATTCACAGCCTCAGAAACACTATACAGGGTTGTTATGAGTTAGAACCGATTGAACATTTCATAACAACAGCAACAACACTACAAGGATAGAGAGTTTTCAATGTGGTTGCCATGAGAAGTGATGATTGTTGATTAAAGTTGATTCTGACTCATAAGAGACTCTGTATAGGGTTTCTAAGGAATGTCTGGTGGATTTGAACTCCCAACCTTGCAATTCAAACTGACCTTATGGTCCAGTGCTTATTCTACAGTGTGCCACAAAAGGACATCATACACTGAAATGTATGTATAACAGGCATGCAGATATAATCTTTTCATATCTAGGCTTGAAAACCAGTTTCAAAATTAATTTTTAGTTTTCATCAAAGTAAAAACTCTCCAAACCTTACTTCCCTAAGGCAGATCCTCAACTATTTCAGTTACTTCCCCTGGCATCCGTCTACATGTTTCTAAATAATTAATATATAGTCATTTCTTGCTTCATTATTTTCTCCATTAGCTATTGACTTCCCAGCATGATGAATAGGGATTAAACCTCTTTCTACCCACTACCTGAAATATGGAGTCCTGGTGTGGCGCTACGGGTTAATGCGTTAGACTGCAAGGTTGGTTTGTAGTGCAAGATTGACAGTTCAAGCTCACCAGCCACTCCTTAGAAACCCTATACAGGTTGCTATGAGTTGGAACATCTCGACAGCACTTAACAACAAACCTGAAATATAGCTTTGTGGTTTTTTTTATAATTAAACTGTTTACTATTTATTATAAACATATTATAATTAAACTTATACTGTTAAGTCACACCTCTTCTTTTTAAAATCCTTTTATTTTTTGCTCATTTTAAATTTCATTTGTTTGATGCTGTTTGTACTTTGTAAAAAGTTTCACCACATGCTATTCTATCTGCTACACGTCTTTCAATACAGTAATACTTGTAAACCCTGGAACCAGCGTAAGGCTGAAACCTGTCAAAGAAGGAAAACTCAAATGTTTTCCACTAAAAAGTAAATAGAAAAGTGGTTAAGAATTCACTCTGTCAAAGGTGGAAAACTAGCAAGACCTGGAAAAATAAAGCACTCCAAGTTTCGGCTCTCACAGGTTTCACTAGAATGCTTTCTATCCTTTTAAATACACTGTTGTTGTTGTTATGTGCCATCAAGTCAGTTCAGACTCACAGAGACCTGTATAGGGTTTCCAAGGAGCAGCTGGTGGGTTTGAACTGCTGACCTTGAGACTCGGAGACCAAGGATTATTCTGTAGTGCCACACCAGGGCTCCTTAAACACATTAGTTCCATTTTTGCTCCCTAGATACTTCTCTCCTGGAGCCTTTAGTCTTCCAGCTACAACCTGGAATAATTACTGTTTAGGCTTGTCACAACTGAACTCCTAGAACTTCATTTCTCTTCCATATTGGTAGGACTACATTGATGCTATTGGTTAATGCTCTAGACTGCAAAGTTGGTTTGATCCACAAGGTCGGTGGTTCAAGCTCACCAGCTGCTCCTCAGAAACCCTACACAGGGTCACTGAGGGTCGACAGCACTTAACAACAACAGCCTTCCTTGGTGGCCAGCTGAGAAGCCTATGAGATGGCTTACCAAGCTATGTATCCCAGTAGCTGCACCTGTCTTAAAGGACTCCTTTTAAAATTCATGCTTGCAGAGAAGTTGTTTTCTAGTTCACACAAAAGTTCCATTTAGGCTAGCTGCAGTCTCAGTAACAGATTCCTGATACTTTGATCTGGTGACTTTCTATTTATTTCTCCTTTCTTTTTAATGAAGAAATACAGAAAAACTGAATTGGTACACAGAAAAACTTCAAACAATACGTCTGATAATATCATTATTTTGCTCTAACACTTTATGGAAAGAAATCAGGCTTCGAAATCATTTTTCAGCTGAATTATAAAGCATTATTCCTCTTTTAAAAAGTAGTTTAAGGAAATATTTATGAAGTTCAAGAACCCTCACCAGTGAGCATCACTTTACTTGCTTTCTCTATCTTTACCTTCACCTCTACTCTCCAAAGCCTTTTCTTTTTAATTTCTACTTTTTTTATTCATTTGTTGTTGTTAATGCCATCAAGTCGATTCCGACCCATAGCGACCCAGCACAGGGTTTCCGAGGAAAAGCTGGTGAGTTTGAACCACCGACCTTGCAGTTCAAACGGCTTTGCAGTCTGGCACATTAACCCACAGTGCCACACCAGGACTCTGTTTATGCTATTAAGTGCCATCAAGCCGGTTCCAACCCATAGCGACCCTGTATACAGTTTCTAAGGAGTGGCTAATGCCGCAACAAGGCTCAAGATAGAAAAAGCAGTAAATGAAAGGGGAAAACAAGTAATTAAATTATTACAAAATATGAAAAAGTATATGCAATCACTTTATAGAATGAATCAGTTGCTATATCTGCCATTTAAGTGTTACACTAAATGTAGACACTGAGACAAACATGAACATTTTGCTCTGAGAAAGCCTTCACCATTGGGAGGTAATCCAAGTCCTTGGAATGTTGTGTCTGATAGGTGTCTTGTTTGGGGTGACAGCTGGTCACACCAGAAATGTCAGCAATGTGATGTCATATTGGGAGTTTTGGGTCATGGTTGACCTGGAGAATGAGCTCAACCAATTGAG